ATAATTTATTTTTCACTAATTTACTACAGGGTCAAAACGAGGAAAATCTTATACAAGGCAGAACAAGGATTTAATTAACACATCCATTACAAGGCATAAATTAAGCGTGTTTTCTTAAACGGTCATTGGATTTACGAACCGGAATAAAAGATTCTTCATGAATGGCTAAGTGAAAAGAAAGAAACAATTCACTAGCACAATCAACTAATTCATCCAAATTAAAGTAATCGATATGGCGAAATAAAAGATATTCTAATAATGTAATAACTATATAGTTCGTGACTGAGAAGAAGTCAAAAAAGTTTATCAATTATCCATTCTTGTTTGAGACTATGATGAATCGCCACTTACTACCACTTTACTCATAATTGACTATTATCGTGAAAGAAAATTTGATAAGAAATAAAAATATGACAACCAAAAATAATAATTAAAAAAGTTAAAACTGTTTACCGAGCCATTGATGTTTCGGAACTAGAAAGAATGCAACAACCAGGATATCGCCGAATAAATCAAGGTTAGCCGTCAATGCTACTCTCTTAGAAAAGAGCAAGTATGAGATTTGCAAAAATATTTTATGTTATAAAAGGGAGAATGGTTTGTCGGAAAAAGAAATTGGGGAAAGGTTAGGAATTAAACAAGTTGATAAATTAGAATTAAATGTCAGTAATCTTTAATTTATTTTTGTTATCTTTATTATCAAAATAAGTAGCACAGTGTCAGAAATACTACACTATTCAAAAAAAATGTCTTTTTAAAAAACTATGAAAGTAAAAAATAAAGAAAAAATAAAAGTTAATGAAAGAGGTTTCCCTGAACCACTTATTGCCAATTGTTTTAAATGCCACCAAGACTTTTCGATAAAATATAATCCTGCTATTGGAATGTATACTCAAAAAAATTATTGATTGTATTGGGTGGATGAGAAATGAAATCCTAAAAAAATGTCCCGTAAGTCTGAAAACGAAAGAGGGGATAAATTATGTGATAACTGTCTAAAAGAATTTTATCTAAGAAATAAAAAGGAGTTTCTTAATTTAGTAAGAGATAAAAGCAAAAGGCAAACACTTAGAAGTTATTTGTATCATTCTGTGATTTAGTTTTTGTTTTTATGGATATAGGCTCTATGTGATAAATCTATATAAAATAAGGGAATAATATATAATTTTACACCAAAGTTAAAGATGTCATAACACTTTCCTACAATTAAATTATGTAAAATTAATTGGCAGATATGTATTATTTTACAGTAAATTTTAAAAACCTATGCAAAAAGAAATAAAATCTAATAAAAATAATTTTCAAGGTTTCCCTAAACCTAAAAAAGTAAAGTGCTTCAAGTGCGAAACTAAATTTTTCGTTAAGTTCGTTATCTCACGGCAAGATTATAGCAAAAAGAATAACTGGGATTATTGAACTGGTGAGGAAAAAGAGTTAAAAATATGTAACGATTGTTTAAAGAAACTTTACTATGATAAACCAGTTTACTGAACAACCATCAAAAATTTACAAGAAGAGGAATTTATTAAAAAGTTACATTCATGATGGTCATTTAGATTAAGTTTTGCTCTTATCTTCAGAATTTCGTTCTTTCTCCTCTTTTTCTTTTCTAAGTTTTTCCTTTAAATCTTTTAGTTTCAGTGGAGGAGTATTTATGGCAGCCCTTAACATTTGATCAAACTCTGATTCTTTTGCTACATTTTCTCTGTTATGTTCCTCTACATGTAATTTTATGTTGCAAGCACTGCAATAATTCCTACCATCTTTATATTCAGTAATAAAGAAAGAATCAGTATCTATTTTACATCCATTACAGATTATTCGTTTGTTGTTCATAACCTTTATTGTTTATTTTACTTGTTAGTTCTTTATAAGTTAATCTTTTGCCCACCGCCAAGGAAAGTAACAGGTTAAATCTATCTTGAATGCTATACTTTCGAGTATTGCGACGAAAAGTAAACTCATTTAAATATTTTTGAGGATACTTTTTGCTTATCTTAATATAAGTCCCATAAATCATTTTGTTTAAATGAGAATTAAAGTTCTCGACTAAGTTATTCGAAGCTTTCTTGCCATCTGCATATTGTTTTACATATTGCCCCATTTTGTGAACAACTATCTGGTGGTTATACCACTTATCTAGACCCTTATAAACAGGATATTCATCCGTGTAGGCACTTGAACCTTCTTCAGCGTTTGCTCTAATTATTGGAAACAAAGTTTTTCGTTTAACATTAGGAACTACTTTAGCAATTGAATTACCGCCTCTTTGTTCCATCACGAACACAGGAATCTTATCTTTTCAGTTTCTGCCTTGGGCTTTGGGAGCTTTTTTATTTCGGTGTCTGTTAGTATTTGAACCTCCTAAGAAAACTTCATCTCCTTCTCACTCACCTTTCAGTTTAGCAAAAGTAGGATGCAAATCAGCAATATAACGCAAACGATGGGACAAGAACCAAGCAGTTCTTCAATTAAAACCATTATCTTCTGCTAACTGACAAGATGAAATACCTCTTTTATGATTAACAAGAGGATAGAAAGAGTGAAATCAGTCCAGTAATGGCAACTTAGTATTCTCAAAGATGGTTTTATTTTTAACATTGAAGTATTTACCTGTAGTCTTACATTGAAATCTTTTATACTTAGCGGAGTATTTTTTTGTGCTAATTATTTTGTCAGCACATTCATAAACCTTAGAATTGGGGTCGTGAGGAGAAATTGGCATTTTTCCTTTATAAATGAATGCCTCTAAATAATCTACACATGCTTGCTCATCAGGGAAAATTCTTCGGAAGTCTTTGTAGTTTTTGAATTTAGGCAGTATGCTACCCTGAAAGGTTATTTTTTCTTCTTTCTCCATCATACTAAACCAATTAATCCGCCCACTACCACTATCAATCACTATTAGAGTAATAATTCCTCCACTCATTCCCTTATTTTTGTCACTAGACTTCTTAGGATTATCTTCTTCTAATTTTCCATATTTATCTTTGTAATTGTTCTCAGCATTTTGTAAGGTATTTCTTTGTAGAT